CTCCCCCCCCCCCCCAAATATATTTTTCTGAAGAAAAAGAAACAACTCAGACCACACTGAAAAAAAGCCATAAAGATTTATGAAATAAAACACAAAAACACATACTACGTCATTTGCTTCGGAAGCATATTTAGTCCTCAAAACAGAAAACAGTACACACACAGTCCACGATTAAAAGTTTGCAATTCATCTACTAACTAGTCATGCCCATCATTTTACTGTATCTGCCCTAGTTACCAGTACACCATTACAGAAGAACGGTCAGACCAAGGGTCCATCCAGCCAAGTATCCTGTCTTCCGACAGTGGCCAATGCCAGATGCTTCAGAGAGAATGAACAGAACAGGTAATCACCAAGTGATCCATCCCCTGTCGCCCATTGCCAGCTTCTGGCAAACAGAGCTTTCTCAGCACACAGCCTACCACCAAATTTTGGCCTACCCAATCCAATGTGTGTTAAAAACCACACGTGACTGAAGCTGAGCTGGGTGGGCAGGTCTTTTAAAAATTTACAACACCCTCAATGCAACTGTCCTGTCTTTTGTGATTTTCCTTAAACAATTCTCCATCATTTTATGTAATCAATTGTGGCCTCTTCCAAACACACACATTTGGGGTTGAAATTTAGATCTGCAATTGTAATTGCTAATAAACAAGGAACAAAAACTCAGGATTATAGCTCAGTTTCTTCTTCTGTTCAAATTTCACTTTAATGGACCTTTTATAATTAGGATCAGTCAACTTGCAGGTACTCGGCATGGAAGAACCCTCAAAGGAAGGAAAATGGCATGTCATCTTCCTCTGCTTGTACCGGTGAGGCCCTGCCAGACAGAGAGGTATCCTGACCCAGGAAGCTTCTATCCAGGCCCCGGTCCTGACTTGCTGGGAAAGTCACCTGCATGTCCCTGCCAAAGAAAGCCAGGTGGGGGAACCACTTGGTATAAGAGGTGTCCATTAGTGGAGTTCCTCCTAATGCAGATATCGAGGTGGCTTGTCTGCGTAGCATCCAGGAGCATGAATACTTCACTGACAGGATGCATATGGAATGTCTGGGATGGAGGAGGCTAGCCGACTACATGTGAAAAAAGCAGATTCAGAGAAGCCCTGCTCTGCAGGGAGGAGACTGGCTGCTTGCCACCTTGGGTCCCCTGTCCATTGAGATCAAGAACCAGTATGCTATACTAGTAACAGGAGTTGAGGAGCAGACCCCAATGGTTGAAGAACAGGAACCACTTGCTCCCCAAACCAGGGAGACTCATGAACAGTAGACATAGGGTGGTGGTTGGGGATCCCCTTCTGCGGGGGATGGAGGCATCCAGCTACCGACTGGAGATGATATTCTGCCCTACGTGGAGGCCGCATCCGAGATGTTACTGAAAGGTTGCTGAGGCTCATCTATCCCTCTGACCACTACCCCATGCTGCTCATCGATGTGGGCACTAATGGTACTGCCGGGTATGACCCTGAGCAGATTAGAAATGACTACAGAGCTTTGGGAGCAAGGGTGAAGGAGTTGGGGTGGCAGGCTGAGTGCTCACCCATCCTCCCAGTTGAGGGTAAGGACAGGGACATGTGCAACCTGGAGATAAATGCATGGCTGCATAGATACAGAAGGGGGGGGCAGCATGGCCTTGCAGTGGAAGAAGTTAGATACAGGGAATGTGCAGAAATTTAGGACATAAGACAGCAACTGTCTACATCATGCTAAAAAGGCATTCTTCCTTTTGAAAAGGTAGAGGAGTTTTATTTCATATATTACTAACCTGATTTCCTTCTTTGAAAAAATAACGAATTTTTAGATAAGGAGAATGGAGGCCTATCTTATGAGAGGAGACGGAAAGAGCTTGTCTTGTTTAGTCTAGCAAAAAGAAGGCTAAGAGGGGATATGATTGAAGAGCTATTTAAGCTTAAGGACAATGCCTGCCATTACATTATCATCTAAGAGACTGTCAAACAAAGAGGGGGTGATTCCTTCTTAAACCTCTCTCCGGGAAAAGGGAGGTTCTTAAAATGAAAGCCTTACTTAATACTTCATCTGTTTTTCCCTTATTTTCTTTATTTTAATAAAAGGTTACAAGAATTTTTAATGGTGTATTTGCCATGGTGTTAAGCAGGTCTCTGTATACCAAACCTTATTTAACATTGTTTAATGTGGGACAGTAACTGGGTTATGTCAACATCTTTAGCCAGTTTATTCCATTGAAATTAGTACAGCAGCTCTCAAACATTTATAACTAGTTCTTTTGGAAGTGTGTTATATTTTCTAGTCAAGCAAAAAAACCCTGATGTTTGGAAAAAGATTTTGCATTGAGGTTTATATTTGCATTTTTGTTTGTTTTGTTTTAAGTTCAGCCACACACAGTTATTTGTTGTGACTTGTAACAATGTGAGGAATCTGTTTGTAAAATTTACTAATTCTGGTTGATATTTTGAAGTTGTTCTTATGAAAAAGTACTGTATTGTAGAATGCCTCTATGTCTATTCACCACTGTTGACAAGCCTGTAAGCACACCTGTCCCGGACTAGATATAGCGAAGAGTAGGTAACCTTAATGACTGTAGTCTGACCAGTCAGTAGTATGCTAAAGTTGGTTGGATTGGGGAGAAGCCACTTCCTTCAGTTTGTCTGTATGGGGTTCAGATTTGGAGAGTGAAAAATTACTAGCAGCAGGCCAAAGGAACCAGTTATTGAGATACATAAACTTGAGGGACTTGGAGCCACTCAGGTATCTTGGGGCAGGAGAGCTGCACAGACAGGCATGCTTTTGTAGCAGGGGAGGTTTGGTTTAGCTGTGGGACTAACCAAGGTCAAAGCAAGCTGACTGGGGGTGGGGGATGGGAAGAGAGATGGAATGATGGAAATGACAAGCCATGTGCTGCAGGTGAAGGACGGCCCCAGAAGACTCTGACTTCCAGCCCAAAGAATGCTCTGGA